GCCGCCCCCATGGTTCCTGCTTCCTCTCGACCTCCATCACCGCCGCCCCAACCAGCAACCCCGTTATCGGTTCCCCTCCTCTTGTGCTTCCAATCCCGCCAGCTCCACCACGACAAACATGAGGAGGTAGACGACACCCCAACAGTAGCAGCGGTCTACCTCCATCCCTCGCGCACGCCCCGGTCGTAGAAGGGGAAGGAAACCAAGAAGGCTCCCGGACTGTGGCGGCGGCTCTGCATCTCGTTGCCGCTCTGCGTCTCTGTGTCTCCGCCGTTCGTTGCCGCTAGTGAATTTCTCCGCCTTTCGTTGCCGCTAGTGAATTTCGACAGTAGGTTTAGTTTCGATTAGTAGATTCAGTTTCAACAATAGGTTCAGTGCACTAATTTTACATTTTCAAATACATCATCTGTTGGAGTTGGGACTTTTTTAAAGATGTGAAAAACATTTTTTGATGATGTAAATTATACTCAAACATACATCCTCTGTTGAAGATGCTATTAAGCCCAACTACGTGCATAGTAACCGGTTGAGAGACGTAGTACATGTAGAACTGTAGATGATCTCGTTTGATGATCATGGCCAGGGACCAGGGTGCAAAACGAACCATGGTTAGAGCACAATCATCGACCACCCCACAGTCACTTTCAGGACACAGCGAAGATTGGCGCCCACATCAAGCGCTTAACTACAGGAGATATAAAAGGTGACATGACACTCGGACCGAACCAGGCGCAACGAAGAGCGTCCGTCTGCCAGCAATCAACATATGTCCACGAGGCGGAATTGAAAGCTGGCGCGACCAACGCTATCCGGTTGGCGATGGCTGTCGGTCGGTCCATGAAGGCTCATCGGGGCCGCCCGGCGTCTCTCGATCACGGTAATGCGTATAATCTGATGTTGGGGAGGGCCGGCTACAGGCAACAGTAAAAAAATATCACTGTTCATATGCATAATACAAAGGAAATTAGGATGTTGGGAAGGGCCCGGGCCCTGGCTGGCCACCCCCTGCCTCCGCCACTGGCGGTCAGTCGGTTGCACAAGCACAGTCACCAGCGAGGCACTGTTCCTCCCCTGTCTTCTTCTTCTCTTTCAGTATCATGTCTGTTGACTTTTTCTAAGAATACAATACCGACGTAGCTAGACGCGTACATCTCTATGAATACACGTGCTCTACCTCTATGAGCATTTTCAAGTGACCGAGCTAACGGATCCTGAGATCGAAGACATCACAAGCACCCCGTTATCGATGGGAATGTTGCCTCGCATTAAAAAATATATTCCGCGCACACTCTATCCCCTTGAGCATCTCTGAGGGATTGAGATGACATATCCTGAGATTAATGAAGACACATAAAGCACCTCCCTATTGATAGGAACATTGCCTCACACTAAAAAAATATTTCACTTTAATGAGACATGCATGTGTTAAGTGTGAAGTTTCATCCCAGGTGGGGTACAACTATCATCTTAACCATCTAGTCACATGTTGATTTCCCCATGTTTGTTAACTAAGCACAAGGTAGTAGTATGTAATAGGGGTCATAACAGTCCATGTAGACACATGCAACCCTGGCTAAAAGAAAACAAATACATAACAATCTATAAAGACACATGCACCCCCTCCCTACCGATCGATGATGGGCATTCCATTGTGTTGGTATTTAGCACATGTGTTGATTCAGGCTCCCGAAATGCTTCCATGTTGCCATGATAAGACCTGGCCTTCACAAGCCTACACTCTAGCTGCCGCTAGTAAGATGGCAACACCGACAAAGGTCGCGACACACACCAATTGACCCCCTCTTAACGTCCACAAGCTCCATAACAATCACGATGGCACCGATAAAGCCTAGGGAAGAGAAACCACCAACGCGACAATACCATGGATGTTGAACATGTACATGCGTCGGTGTTCAACACGTACCATCCATTGACAGACGATCTCCCATCTAAGGATCCAACAAAGCATACAAGCTCGGTGCACACCATTTCCTCTTGAAATCCCGAGGCACGCTTCTAGTACCGAGGTTGAGAAGGAAGACAAAGGCAATAGAACAAGATCGAAGGCCAAGAGCGGTCTCCCACCAGCGCAAGAAATGGATTTCGTTGGCGGAAACAGAGGTCGTCACCCGAAAGTTAGAAGAGAGATCATCGACCGATCTCGAGACGATCAGCAAAATCCTCAAGAAGATGACAGAACATATTAAAGTGGAGGTCGTTGGAGTAGAAAGTACTGCGGACCGATGTTCAATGACCAAAGCAAATACCAAAGAGAAAGCAGGCACGTGATCTCACTGAAAATGAAAAATACCACAATCCACATGCGCGATTCTATAACTGAAGGGAAGGGGAAGACAACTGGCAAGCATAATAACAAGGTGGTTATTAATTAAGGGGATATGAGCCGGATTCGAGAAACCCACCCACAAGGGAGACGACGGACCCAACTCCGATTCAAGCAACCCATCTGACTCGTCCGATCTTCCACATCAATGAGACAAAAGCCTCAAATGGCAAATACGGACACAATAGAGCCCGGGGGTGGGGTGGGGCCCCTACCCTACTCACTGCTGGCAGATACAGGAAGGACAAGAAGGGAAGGGGCCTCCGAAGGAGGACGATAGGGGTCTATGAAGGAAAGCGACGACGATAACAAGCCTCACGAGAGACGAAAGGAGAGGGGAACCCCATCTTGGTGAATCGGCGTTTCTTCCTAAAAATCCATTAATTCTCCAAGTCAATCATCGATGAAGGATACCTAAATACCTTGCCTCGCCGAGAAGAAGGCGACCGTTTCATTCACCCACTCTATCTTCTACTACCAACGCCAACGCGTGCAGCAAGACTCTGCAAAAATGTCCTTTCTTCTTACATGAAATTGCCCTCGTGTTTATTCCCACGATTGCTGCCCTCGTTTTTATTCCTGCATATCGCAAAAGAGCCCGAACGCATCACGGCTCTGCGGGCGGGCCCGCCCGCAGGATCCGTGATATCCAGCCCGCCGCACGCATCGCAGCCGCTGGATCCACCGCCGCGCAGCTCCCCCCACGCCCGCACCCGCAGTCCACCCCCTTCCACCCCACTGACACCCCTCCCCCACAGACCCCAGACCCCACCCGCCAGCGACCCGCCCAAGCCCTCACGCGCCGCCCCGCATCAGCGCGTGCGCGTATATGAACACCAAAAGACGCAACCGACAGCGCTCCCTCTGAAAAAAGA